TAGTCCACTACTTCTATTTCTGCAACACATTGGCGGCCTTAGTTACAAACTGCGTTTTTTATTGTTCTACACAGAAATTGTCATTCAACTGATGTATACACTTTAGGCGTAAACGTCGTAACTTCTCCAAGCAAGCTACTGAAGTTCTTAACGAATATTTTTATTCACACCTGAGCAATCCGTACCCGTCGGAGGAGGCCAAAGAGGAACTCGCTCGGCAGTGTAACATTACAGTGTCTCAGGTCGGTGGTGTTCCTGATGTGCATTTTTTCATTCCTTTATTATTTCTGAGTGTAACAATCGATGCAGGTTCAAGATTCGCCAGATTTATGAATGGCTCTCAGCGAGGTGCTAGATTTATTGCGAAAACAAGGGTGTGATCTTTCCAGAATATTTTTGATGAGATTTTGACTTTGCAGGTGTCGAATTGGTTTGGTAATAAGCGGATTCGCTACAAGAAGAACATTGCCAAGGCGCAGGAAGAAGCGAATATGTACGCTGCAAAGAAAGCAGCAGCTCATGGACTTGGAGGTACTTGATAAGCTTCATTCCTTCGCGACGAGAATTTTTATATGCTGGAGTTTTTTTTTCTAAGCTTTCACTACTGGAGCCAGAAAAAGTGTCGTTCCGTAATTGGTACAGATTTGAGTGATCAATTTGTTTCTAGGTCTCCCTGGAGCGAACTATGGTATGTTGGCAGGGTCGTCATCAATGCTCAATCCCTATCAAGGGATGTTGCCTGGTCAAGATCTTAGCCATATGGGAATGCCGCCCGGATTTGATCTCTCTGCTTATAACCCTCAATTAGTAAGTCTCGTTTATCTCTATTCATAGGTCTATTAAGCTCGAAGTTCAGCGTGTCTTTTCTGATATTGCTCTTGATTTTGAACTCTTTCAGATGGCACAATATCAAGCAAATCTGGATAGTGACAAGTAAGGCTGTCTGATATCCTCGATACTCGTCTTGTCGTCGACGAAGTTCACTGAATCTCTTGCCAAGCTTTTCATCACTGCATTTGGCATAGTTATATTGCCTTGCCATTTTGCTATGTTCAGTTATCTTTTTCTAATTTTGATCTCTTAAAGTTCAAATTATTGACAACAGTCCTGACCACATTGTTAACCGGTTTCAATAGGGTTGACTACTAGTATGAGCAGCGTTGAAGCCACCAATTACCATAGGCATTTAAAGAATTCTCAGATTTTGCTCTCCTTTTTTTGTATTAGAATTTTCGCCACGCTCAGAACCAGATAAATAATCTTACCCTGGGCTGCCAAAATTATAGGTCATGTAATAAGTGCTTCGACAGCTTCAAGTTCTAGCGTACAAGATTTCGATTAAGATTCCCATCGAAATGAGATTAGGTGAGAATTGCCCAACCAACTAGGCAATGCCTTCTAACGAGCGCCAGTCTCATTTACTGGTACTCTTCATTTGAGAAATGTCAAAACACACTCTCGCAAGCTTTCTGTCGTGATGAACATCTGAATTTTTGTTGATTACTGTTTTTTCGTAGGTAATCTATGAAGTACACTACGCTTTGAGTGTATTGAGTGTACACACAGCAATACTTATTTCAGTAGATTATGACAGTCCACTCGTTTGTCGCATTTGCATTTTTAACGAGGTTAATATTTTACGAGATAATTTTGTAGTAGATTGATCTGACGATGAATCTTAACTGAATTCCTGATTGTATTTTGTTGTTTTTTTTTTTCCTTTCACGCGATAAAACCGTTGCATAAATTAGCAGATTGCGTACTAGACCGTGGGATCACGGGATCAAAAATTATAAGTGTTATTGTAAGTAATGGGAAATTATGGCTCTTATCAACTTGTAGACAGTTCTGGTTTTGACTGATCAACCGTTCCTTGCGGGTGGTTATGATTGTCCGAGGCAGGATTCGATCCGCTGACATTTTGACGCGAATGTCGTACTTGTACAGAGCCTGTCACAAAAGAAGATTCAAGCAATTCAAATAGTGGTCGCTACACTGTTTTCTTTGTAGCTGCAGGCATGGCTCCCTAATTGACGAGTGTCAGTACATATATGCAATGCTGTGGTGACACCAGGGGCAAATGTGTGTTGCGCAGTTTTCAAAAATTTGGCGACCCCCCACTCGAGGGCTCTTTTGGAGGAAAGTTAGGGGCGGAGTTGGACTGTGTGGACTAACTGTCGGTCTCAGAGTCTGATACTACAGAAACGGCCTTATGGTGAGGGTAACGGACGTGGTGGAACGAGAGGGTGGGATTTGAGGAGTCTCCTAAGGAGGCTGATACTTGGGGGGGGGGGGACGTAAGGAACATCCTTAAAATCAGGCAGAATCGTAAAATTTTTGACATCAATGCAACGCACGGTTGACCTTGGGTGATAGTGTTCACATTTGTGAAGCGGTTTTTGTATTCACTATTTTCTCTGTGGTTTTTCATGATTTGAGAAAATATTCAGTACGGAAGTAAACATATACTCCCTTTCAAAAAACGAGAAGAGCGTCGGGTGCAGACCATACACCACAAGTGACGACGGCCTCCACAAAATGTAAATGTTTTCTGC